AACAGAGCTTTAAGACTATTTTTTGTGCGTTTTACATTTGATGCTTAAACTAGAAAAAGCATTTCCTGCTGAAAATGCGTTGGAATGCAAAAAGCTGAAAGCTGCACTGAATATTTAAAAAAAACATTAGTAGTAGTTGTAGTATTAATAGCAGTAGAAATACTAGTAGTATGGTAGTAGAAGTATCAGTTGTAGTACTAGAAGTACGAGTAATATTCGTAGTGGGAGACAGAATGTTTGTTATTCAAACTAAGAAGTTTTTAATTAATAGGCCTCATCACAAACATTACAGTAAAAATTCCCTCCATGGGGCTTTTATTTTGAAATTATTGGATTGGGTGGGGTGGGGTGGTGTAGATAGATGGAGGGTGAGAGGGTGAGGAAGGGAGGGGTGGTGAGGAAGAGATAGAGGGAGAGAGAGAGGAGGAGAAATGGACAGACATACTGACTGACTGAGTGATTAACAGTGAGAAGAGGTCAGGGTGGAGGGGGGAGGGGGGGGCTAGTGTCTTTATCATATTGGTCTGTTGACAGAAAGCATAGCTGCGTCATGTGACTCCACTAATCGGGTCATAGGAGCAGCTGTGTGATGGGTGTGATGGGTGTGATGGTTGTACTTCAGTCCTTGACTGAAGTACACCCATCACACGTACACGCACACACACACACACACACACACACACACACACACACACACACACTTGAAAGCTGCTGAATCATTCATAATGTAAGGGACTTTTTTTGTTTACAATGTTGGACAGAAGGCTATGTAAACTTAACATAGAAAAGCAGAGCACATCAGCTATAAATGTCTTACTTACTAGTGCTGGCCAGTCCAATTCATTGATCAGTTCATTTTGAGTTGATAAATAAATTAATCGAACTTCTAGAGTTTTATTGGGTTTGGATTTTTTTTTCCCAAGCAATGTCATGTGTGGCTCATTAATGGGTTTAGTACATGCTGTTCATCTGTCCTAAATACAATTTTTAAAATGGTATATTTTGTTGAGTTTTTATTACTTATTATAGCTTGTATCTACAATTCATTTTGAGCATTTTGTTTTGCAAGCAAAAAATGAAGCTTCCCTGACTGCGCCCCCCCTGGTCTGTTACGTTCTGCGGTAAAGACTAAAACTAATACTGAAACTAATAAAAACTAAGCATTTTCAAAAAATAAAAAATAAACTAAACTAGCAAACCCGCTTTAAAAACTAATTAAAACTAAACTGAAATTGAAAACAAAAAGTCAAAACTAAATAAAAATAAAAACTAGTGAAAAATTCTAAACTATAATAACCTTGGCGCAGACACACAAAAGCTTAACAATAGGTTTTGTGCCACTGTTTTACTGGTGACATCAGTTGCTTCTTTTTAAAGGGAGCGTCTGCACCGCCTGCTGGGTTGTGCTCAGACAGGAAACTAGTAGGCTGTCCCACAGCTCCAAGCCTTTACACAAATATAAGTTTCTCTCCCATTTAATCCTAGCTCTCCTCGTTGTATTTCCTTTAATTATTTCTTCCAACAATCCTGCTTAAACATATAGAGTTCTTTACCCGACAGGATCACATTGTATTAGTATGAAACCGCTTCTTTCCAGAATGTCTTCTACTAAACTGTCCCTTTGTCCAACCCGAGCGCACATTCAGCTTCCTCTCTCGGTTCCTTTTGAAAACAATATAGAGGTTGCAAGAAAACAAAACCCAATGTTTAAATCTCCCCCTCTCATTACAGCGCCTCCACCACCACCAGAGGAGCTGACACCCATCCAAGGCTGCAACAAATTTGACAAGAGCAACACATTTGGGTCAATTAATTACAATTTATAGCCTTATGACATGTGCCTAAACAGACAATATTATAATATTTCCATGAAGAAAAAGTCTTCATTTTCATTTTTCATTTTCATTTTCATTTCCACATAAAACGCCAGGTCACATGATCACTTGTGTGCACAAGGCTGCCAATTGCATAATTTGGCTCATTGCTCGAGATAGTAAATTCCTCACGGAAGCTCTGATTCTCCTCTTTTGTTGCTGCTGTGGTGTCCCTGCTTGTTAACTGGTCGAGGTAAGGGTTGTGTAAGTTCTAAACCTAAACTAACAGGAAACACTACTGATCAGGCATATACCTTTCGTGTGTTTGGATGATATCTGCATTTGATGTGAGGGTTTGTATTGCCTCCTCTTTCACCAAATCAAAACCTATGTTAGGTCCTCTTCAAGACATAGACTCTGTGAGGACACATTAAAATAATCTAATATCTGCAAACTTGCACCCATTGGCAGAAGAGTAGTCATCCAAAGACCAACCATCCACAGATCAAAGAACCTCTCCCACAGCAAACTGCTCACCATTTACACAATTTATTTCACTTACCAATGCACCCTATACAGATGAAATGTACAAAACTAACAAGACAAGAAATGCTGGAAAGTTCATGAACATAAAGGGTCCCTGGTGGGCCAGGAGAGGGAAAGAAGAGAGTGAGAGGCCCAATTCACGCACATGGTTCTAGTTAGTGGACTCCCATTAAGGACAATGTGGTGTGGATGAAACTTTACATTTCACAGTCAAAAGGCATGAAAGGTTGCTTCGAGTCATTGCGTGAACAAATAATACACACTGTACAAGAGAACTACATACACAACAGACCAACAATGTAGAATTGGAAAGGGGACAAATGGAGGTTTACAGTGGTTTGATTTGCAATATAACATATAGGCAGGGGAACGGAGAATACCAGAATCCACAACCACCAGCTCGATTAAAAAATGGTTCATAGATCTTGCGGTCCTGTACTGTATTTATTGTGAGTTTGTGTTACCTGGCAGCCATATTGGCAGTCAGCCCAACTGCTGATTAAGGCTACAACACACTATTTGACCTTTGCTGCATTTTCTAACAGACATGGGAAATGTCTTTCTTTTTGTGCTCTGTGACTCACACAGATACAATACATGTCATTTGTATAACAGCTGTTTTCTTACTATTGCTACGTAGTTTACTACATAACTCTAAATATCACATTTAAGTTATTTCTATATTTTCCAAAAGAGTCAAATCAATGTACCCATCAACTTAATACTCTGTAAACATAACTAGCATGTGTAAAAAAGGGGCCGAACTTGAACTTTAGCAGCCATGCAAGCTGCATCAGCATAGATACGTCCACATTAGATAGTGGAATTCTTCGGATAAGGGAAGGATCCAGTGCATCTGGGTTTCAAGTTTACTGTTTGAAAAACCCTGCTTTTCCATGACTGAATCCAGAGGATCATTAAATGGAAAAAAAGGCTTTAACCAATTTTACACTCAGATACACGGAGAGTGAGAAAGCAAGGAGACCATAAAAAGGTTGGTGGGATTGAAGCCGAAATGGCTTCAAACAAACAAAATTCCTGATTTATGATACATTTTCCAGAGACAGGTCTTAGTTCTGTCTGTTTGTCTATCAATCAGGTGTCACAATTGTTTGCAGCATATAAGTATGTGCCTTAATGCAAGGTCAAGAAGGATGTTTAGCCTTTATCTAACTCCTCCTATGTATGTATACGTTAGTGTGTCTCTAACAGCCTGTAAAGTTGATGTTGGCACCAGATGAAACGGCTCGCATGGTCTCAGTATTTCCTATGGGGGGAAGCTACTTGCTACGTAAAAAAAAAGTCTGTGGAGTTCTGGTTATTATATACTGCAACTTAAACACAGAAATAGACTGAACTTGTGATGCATGTAATACTGGGAACACACTAGACGTAAATCACATTTGAAAATGCATTGGTTCAAATACATGACAATATGCTTCCATAATTCAGGTCAACTGAATTATGGAAGGTCAAGAGATGCCGAAGGCTCAAAAATATCACAGGTATAAGTATATAGGCGCTTGAATTCTTTTGTTCCTTTATGTATTTTAATTAATCAAAGTGGTAACATCTAAAATAGTTTGTATTTTTATACACCTTTCAAATAACATTTCAACCTTTTGGGAAGTAGCTTAGACGAGCGATACATAACGTGTTGGTACATTGAGCATGGCAGTCGGGGGCAATTAGTTAAAAAACACACACACTAGTTTTATTTATACACATATAGTCGAACGTTGGGAGTGAGGGGGTCAACAAATGTTTTTAATGGTAAACAACAATGACCGGTTAACACTAACAGCACCCATTTCCCCAGTCATGTTAGCTAGCTAGTTAGAGACAGGGAAGCTGTTTTCCCAAGATCCCACTCTTATGCTAAGCTATGCCAATCCCCTCCGGGTGTCCCTTTGAAAAGAAAGCAAATACGTATTTCCCCCAAAAATGTCTTGTTAATTGATTTAATGATTTTTTGGATTTGCTGCTTTGCTGCTTTGTGATTTCAACCTGTCCTACTGGTCTGTATCCGTCTTGGATGTATGGATCTAAACAAGTTCATTCCTCTATTGTGTTCCCAGTTCAAGCTACACATGATTCAAATGTGGGTGCAAAATAAATATTCTACATAACATACGCCAGTATGGGAAACATTTCCATTTGTATCCTAATCTTATAAAAGTCATACCAGAGAAGAAAAAAACATGTACAATTGTACTGTGGGCGACTGTGGGTGAGTGGGGAGCACGGTCGTCCTCCAATCAGAGGGTTGTCGGTTCGATCCCAGGCCCGGCTAGCCTGCATGTCGTTGTGTCCTTGGGCAAGACACTTAACCCAACATTGCTCCTGTAGCTGCGACTACAGTGTGTGAATGGTAGTTACTGATGGCAGGTGTCACTCTGTATGGTTCTCCTGTCATCAGTGTATGAATGGGTGTGAATGGGTGAATGATGTCATGTAGTGTTAAAGCGCTTTGAGTGGTCAGAAGACTAGAAAAGCGCTATACAAGTACAGGCCATTTACCATTTACAGTTGTGTGATCACGTTGACACATTAAACATTTTGCCCTTCACAAAGTATTTGAATATAAAATAATACAGACAATAAATAGACAATAGTTTTTACATAAGGCACAGGTATTAGTGTTGTTCACGCGGGTTTATTTCATAGCTGCTGCTCCCCAAACTGTATCTGGGCGTACACAGTGCCACTGCACGACGCCTTGCTTTCAGGAATTGGCTTCACCAGATCCAGTTCTGCATAAGTCAGATTCTCCTCCACTATCTTCGGCTGGAGATGGAGGAGGAAGACGGCAGAGGATAACGATGGAGGAGAAGGGGAGAGGGAGGAGGCAAGGGAGGTAAGTGGTATACGTGGTCAGAAAATGAGAAGGAAGGTTGAGAGAGATTTTCCTCTATCATTAATCTTAAAACTTAAGATGAGTCAGTATATAAATACAGACAATGTATATTTGAAACCAGTGGATCTAAAACTGTTCAGCTCCCCATTAATTAATGATATAGGAACATTAAACCCCCCCGTCCCCTGTTACAGCTCTGACTATCATCTGATTCATACTTTTTTATTTATTTTTCTTACATTTCATACTTATTTTCTTAGGTGCAACCATAGTACATAGTGTAATATGTTTACAACTTGTTTGCAAATGCATTTGTTCTAATTTTATTTTAGATATTTTTTTACCGGTGTGTGTGTGTGTGTGTGTGTGGGCCTCTGTGTGTGGCCTGGTGATGAAGTGGCACCCTCCTGTTGTTCCTTCCCTGTTTGGGAACCACCATTGTAAACTGGTTCATGTAAGCGGGTTTTGTAATGCCACCTTACGGGATTCTTGGGTTGGGGATGCCAAAGTTCTATTACTTCTTGCTGCATTCTGTTCCATTAAAATGCCAAGTTGCCACACATTCTCTTCATTCCAGTGACAATTTAAACCAAAATAAGCCTGGGTTGTGTGGTACGGTTTATGACATTTTCTAGTACTTTTAAACACATTGCTGTCATATGCTGGTTGCGCTCCTTTGCATTCAGGACAAAAAAAACATGTTAGCTTCTCACGAGGCCTCGCTTGGTATGCTAAGTTCATGGGAAAAGCTTAAAATGCATATGTGCTGTTAGAAGAGTGATATATGCAACACATAATCTCACAAATGTGGTTTAAAACAGGTGAAAGAGAGTAGCCTACTGCTAGATTCCTAATTATGTGGCAGTCAAATATAATGATCAAGTAAAAAATGTATGGAATGCCATAGAACTCACCAGCAGTACTTTTCTTGGTTGCTGTCTTAAAAGTTTGGGTGTCCGTGTTTTATCTCCAATGGGAGCTGTGTTGACAAAACAAAGGTCAAGGACTTTGCAGAGATCTGTTGAGCAAACGTCTATATGCACATGCAGTATATATGTCCCCGACGATCCTTAACCACGCACTTGACGTGCGCTCCTGTACCCCCAGTACACAATAGGATGTAATGTTAGATCGGTCGCCCCTCTCAGCCCTACTAGAAGCATCTTAAGGTTTATTTCTTTGGCTTCAAAACCTTCAGTTCAATGGAATAGTTTGGCACTTGGTGGAGTACATTTATTCCCTTTCTTCCTGCGTGTTATATATATATATATATATATATATATATATATATATATATATATATATATATATATTAGTTATATTGTCTTGTGGATATCGAAGAAACATTGGTATGGAGCCAAAACCCAAAAATATTTTCAACAACAAAACTTTTGTACTACCATACAGTGGTAGCTGCATTGTCCAGTAGTGACAAAATCTACTTACCAGCACCTCCAAAGCTCATAGTTAATATGTTATATTGTGTTTCCTGGCTCGGGTTAAATGTGGAATCTGGAAATTGTTTCTTGCACTTTTCTCATAATGACTTCCTACTATGAAATTATGTCCAATTTGTGTAGACCATACTGGTAATTTAAAAAAAGAAGCTCTGCCCTAAATTGCTTCAAACTTTAGAGATTTGAGAGCTCTACGGGATGACCAGTAAAATGGCACTTAACTCAAAATCACCGTCAATGTTTTTTGTTGAAAAAAATGGTGTCTTACAATCCACATGCAATGCCATAACTCAGCATATGAATGTTTGCGGATGGTGACCTCAAATGAAAGCACATATTCATTTTAAATGCAAAGCGGAACAAAGCATACAAGAATAAACCTCCTTGTGGACTGATGCTACTGCTCAGCTCCTCCTGCTGAAAAAGGGTTATTTACTCCCACAGAAACATCTGATTAGGGAAGGTAAATGCGTGAGCCGGAGACTCATATTGACCTTTTGCTGGTATCTCTGGTGGTATCTCATCTTGGTAGTCTCTGCTCCTTTTTTTCCTGTATCTCCTCTCCTTCTTGGGCAGAGCAGGAGACCCGTTGATCCCACTGGTGACTGTCTCTCCTGAGCTGGATTGAGAGCAGATTATCAGGTGCTGAGTGCAGTTTAAGAAGAGCTCACTTTGGTTGCTCTCATGATTGTGTGTGAGGCTTTGTCACCCTTAAACACTTACCTGTTGTGAGGGCTTTTGACCAAAAGGTAATTATCTGCACAGATACAACTCTGTTAGATACACAATAACAGAATGACAGTGAAATGCAGCTTGTGTCCAACTTCAGCAAGAAACAAGATGAGTGGTATAGAAACAGGACTGTGGTCAAAATCAGGTGAGTGTTATCTTTGTGGTGCTGCATACCTTTTAACCTCTGCCTCCTCTGTATGTACTGGCAGGTTACTGTCACTGTAAACATACACATGCACAGCAGACCCACTAAGCAGATCAGCACTGCACACAGATACACATCTGAAAAACAAATGTACACAAACATCAGTCTCATGCCTACTTGGCCACTGTATACAAAAGCATGAAAAATAGCTATTTTAGGGCACTGTGCTACTTGGTTTGAGCTATTTTTTCCTGCTAAGGAGAGCGCAAGTACACGAACATGACGTCTTACCTTTGAACAAACTCCACAAGCTTTCTTTGGCTTTGGTGGCCGGTAGGATGTGCACTATGCGGAGAAAGGAGAGAGGGAGTGGAGAAGCATGTTTAGTCCACTGTCATCACTGTCGCTTGCCTGTGGCCTGATCACACAACACAGAGTGTAAAAAAAGATGATTGTAGGAAGACTAAAGGGCCGAGACTGGACTCCTCCCTGCTGCATGCCGTCTCCGAGGATTCAACCGGGACCTCTTCTGACTATCACCCTCACCTTCATAACAAACTGTTGAGGAAAATCAGGTTTTGCTTTTTTTTCTCAACATGTACCTCAAAATATTCAAAGGGACATTCACACCGTGTTCCATTATACACATATAAATCTGGCTTTCAAAAAATTAGAAGGATTAGATCCCCTGTGAATTTTGACTCAATATTGGAAAAATGGACACGTTAAACGGAAAGACCTGCCACGCCTAATAATTGTTAAGCTGGATTGTCTGTTTTTAAAGGATGGATCAGTCCACAGTCAGTTCAGTTCAGACCCAAGAACGAGAATGAAGATGAGAATATTGAAATAGATTTGACTTAAACGTTGTTTTTCTGGGAGTGGCTTACCGGATATCTCTGCAACGCAGGTGACCCCAAAAATCAGTGTGGAATTCAAGGCATGTGTAATGAGAATCCCAGCTATGTGACTGAGAAAATATGTTTTCCAGGCTCAACCTGAAATCTCGCCCCACCCACTCAGTCGTTCCTCTGAGCCATGTGACCACAGCAGTCTTAAGAACACTGTAGTCTTGCTGAGCCGGCAGATGGAAGCTTGTGAAGTGACACCCACTGGGCCGTCTTGAAATAGATCAAACCACCAGAAGCTGACAACAGGGAGGCCCGCCACGCCGGCTACAGGCTTTCCCACAGGCAGACTCGCTCTGAGCATGCTTCAGAAGGTTGGATCTGAGCTTCGATCATGTGATCTGTACGTACAAGAGCAACTAGAGTATCGATATGGAAAATTAGTCGTTTATCCAAACAGTAACCAAAAGAAAGTATAACAAAATGAGACATATGAAGCTTAGGCGTAAATTCAGTCAGGAAGACTGGAGAAGCCTATGCCTGCCCCAGGGGCCTCTCTATGTGGGTATGCCAAAAGCTGATAAGGGACGGAGGCAGCGTTTCCGCATCAGTGCTGTCTAACGTTAAAAGCTGTTCTCTTATATGAGGGATATGCCTCATCTCATCTCGGCATCCGGGTCCCTGGGGCCGGTATTTCAAAATTATCCCACAGGGTTAATCCTCCTGGATTGGATTAAATCCTCATCAGATCCTAAAAACGGGTGTTTTAAAGCAAATCTGATCCTGAAGATTCCGATTCCGATTTGGTAATCCAATCCTGCCTTTGATCCAGATAAAACACTGCTGTTGAGTATTTCAAAACTTTAGTGGGAAATCTGGATCAGTTTGATCCTAAAAATCAGGATTACCCTGATCCCACCTCAGAGGTGGATTTGAGGGAGATTACATGTTATGGTTTTAACAGTTTAAGTGTAACTGCTCCCAAAGTTCTATGTTTGATACAGTAGCGTTTAAGTTTGAATATGAATGCCTTATTTAAGTAAGTTTTTTGTTACGTTATACCCACTGATAAAGGCCTCCACTCAAACCAGTCAAATGTATTTATTAACATGCATGCAGCACACACACTTAATTTTCATAGCCAAAGCTCAAAAGGTTATGCCATTTGGAGCAGTTCTGTTTTAACTGTCTGTCTTCTCTTTCCACAGACATCTGTAAAGAAAAACAAATATTAAGGTTTTAGGGTTGTCCCTTTAGTTGACAACTGTTTCCTAAAAAGATATGTACAACACATTTTAAAATATACACACAATGCGAGTAAATGCATTCAAATGTGGACTTTGGACCGCGACATACAGACGCTAGCCTATTTACCAACTTGTTAACTCCTTAACACAGAAGTCAATGGAGCAGCGCTAGCTCGCATTAGCGCGAACTCTGCTTTATTTGAGATCGCCGAGCTCTTCTTTCAACTTTGTGCTGATTTACGTAGCTGGTTAACTCAATATAATGATTGCCTTTCATCTAGTCTTAGGACGCATCAACACTGACCAAGACTATACTTACATTTAGAGACAATAGTTGTGCCAGATTCTCCTTTTTTCTGTAACATATTTGCTCCATTCGCTCCATTACGCTATATTCACAATATAAAATACACTTATATGATCCAACTCTGCTGTTAACTGGCTTTCAGTTATCGCGGCTCTTTTTCAAACCAAGGCACTTGGCATTTTCACGATTCAGATGCCCTTAACCATTTTCACTACTGTTGGTTTAATGGATCAAACCGTCTGTAAGATCTGCATCTGTGAGACCAGTAATCTTACACTGATAGCAGCATTGTGTTTAAAAGCACCAGCCTCAATCACAAAATATCTAATGGTCTACTGGTTAATCTTTATTTTGTAGAATATGAGAGGATGTCTCTTTTGAAGAGTGTAGGGCTTCTTAAAGGAAAATTTGAATTCACTCTCCAAGCCGGCTTGGTACTCGGGTTATTCAGATTCTAAAAGATGGCCAACGTTTACATCTATAAATCAGAATGACACGAACAAAAGAGAAAATACTGTAATAATCCCAAAGACATAATCCAAGCAGAGTTGACAGAAAATGTCCACAGAGAGGGAAAATATATTGAAAAGCATAACACATTGTGTCAATGCAATGCCTTTATCTCACCTTGAATGTTATAAGAAACATATTCTTTTGGTAAAATCCAAAACGAAAAAGACCAAAAGCAGTGTTGGTTTGGAAAGAACTGGCAAATACAGTCAATATTCATGATTCATATTTGACTTTGTTTGAAAGCTTGATCTGTCATGACCTTCCCGAGCAGGGATTGACAGCTGTGTTAGAAACTCCTCAACTCTGATTGTTTATTTCCTTTCTTCCTTAAATCTTTAAAACCCTGCTATAGGAGTACTAAAAGGAGGGAGAGGGACCTGATTTTTACCCACTTGTTTGGAAAGGTTCTTTCACACTATATTACTCACAGCGTGAATCACAATAACATCTTTGATATTTATATGGTTGTTTTTAAAAAAGGTTCTGTCCAGCAATACATCTGGTGTACTGTATGACAGAAAATGACATGTAACGTAAAATGTCTGAAGACTATATCGGACATTTTCCCTCTTGGAAGGGTTTTTTCATTTTTTGGGGAGTTTTTCCTGTGCCGATGGTGGGTTTCGGGACAGAGGATGTTGTATGTGTACAGACTGTAAAGCCCTCTGAGGCAAATTTGTAATTTGCGATTATGGGCTATACAAAATAAAATGAATTGAATTGAATTGAACTACAGTGGAAGTATTCAAAGAAACTCCCATTTGTGTGTCACTGCCACAGAGTTGCATTCATTTGCTGATTGTTTCAGATTCGTGCTGTTTTTTGCTCCACAACAACCCAACAGTGTAAACCATGCATATACTGGAGTGAATACAGCTCTGTATCTTCACCATCTACTGAATCCCTCACTGCTCTGATTTACTGTATTACAAACGACTAGTGATGAATGCAAGTACACAGCGACCTTGTGCATCTTTACAAAGCTTTGATTAATTCATCCTTTAACTTCCTGCCGTGTCTTTGAATCTTTTATTCTCGGAATTTGCATCTTTCAGTACATTTTTAATCACTCTGTCTCTAATGATAAACCTTCGTCTGGTTCATTCTTTTCTAAAAGATAAAAACTCTCCAGAGATGTTTTTGACCCTACAACTGCAATATTCCTAGATTTGTAACACTACCAAGTGTTCCATGTTCTTGCTATACTTAAACCCATGCCACATCCCTGGCAGTCACACACATGTGCTATAGAAATATCAATGAGTTATTATCGCAGTAGTAAGTACAGTAATGGGATTTTGGTGCGATGGTGGAAACACCCGATCACCTAATGTTGTCCGTCCGCAGGAATTTCAACAAATTGACGTCGCAAAGGCACACATTTGTGCACAGAGGCTCAGTTATCTGTGGTATCTAATGTGAAGCGGGGACAAGGAGCAATGGTCCCAGAGAGGCTTTATCCCACAGATGATGTATCATAGCTGTCAACCGTTGCTGTGGAAGTGGGAAGGAATACCTCTGGCCGTCGGGCAAAACAGTGGAGTTTTGTAATGTTGAGGGGGCTTTGGCCTGTCAATTATAGTTACTATTTTAATAGTTTACTTTGGAGTCAATTTGGTTTCCCATATTTAAATGGTCTAAATTAAAAAATATTACTAGAGTTTGTATTACAATCAAGTTGGAAAGATATGCGCATTAACCAGACAGGAAGAGACTAAAAAAGGATATGATTCAGTTACATGATGGGGATTGTAGGATCCAGCAATATTTCAAGGTAAATTCACACTATGAACTCTGAAGTTAGAATATTTCCGGCTGTGCCTCAAAATTAGATGCTGCAAAGCTGTGTTTTGAAGTACTCTGAACACACTGATAATCAAGAGAGGTATTTTAGGCATCATCTCAATCTAATTGTTTGATTAAAAATAATGCTGTGTCTTTATTTTCTACATTTGCTGCAATTTGTTTTGTAATTGCAGTATTCGTTCAGAAATTCTTTATTAATATCTCTTAAACCACAATGTAATGGCAAAAATGTATGTAACCCTTCAAAATGTTTCATTGAACGAACAAGGTTATAGATTACATGTGGTGGGATGGTGTGGCCATGAAAAAGCTGTGTCTCACACTGATAAGATGCCAGTCCCCTGGCTGTAAAGACACAAGTTGGTTTGGAGGAAACCTGTAGGTATAAGAACTGCCTGGCTCTGTTGTGAAAGAAGGAAAGTTCTTGGCAGCTCAGTAGCTGTTGTGACCTTTTTTCCCTTGCAATGAAATAAACGGAAAAAGACATATTTGACTGAGAGCCTTCATTCTTATTTACTGATTGCCTGTGCAAAATCTTCCACCACAACAATGGACTACACTTCCTTGGGTTAAAATTACTCACCACATCCTTGACCACTCGACCATCACTTCAGGCAAATATCAGAACTTCACTTTCCTTGGCACAATTCTCTGTTGTTCCATTTCCGCTGAGTCTGTCTGGAATCATTCTGCTCCACATTAGGGAGGGAAACGTATCCAGGCCAATGTCAACAGCTCTTGGCAGGGACTGCGTGTGTGCTTGGGCCCAGACTTGGCCATGGGCAACGCACAAAGTCACGGCACGCAGGATTGCTTCTATGTAAAATGCGGTAAGTAATGTCTACTGTTGTTCAACAGTGTCAGTACGCACTGCAGCTTAAATAATATGAACTGAGTGAAATTTTGTCATGGACTCATTCCTTACCCAATACAAGAAACACTGAATACATTTCACTTAGATACCGGTATTGGGTATTTATAATAAGGGTAGATTAAATCCAGCATTCTGATTGGTTGAGAGTGAGTCACGGCGTGTATATTATTGAGCGATAATGTACAGTACCGATTCACATTGACTCGAGCGTTCCATATTACTGCGCACTCAAAGTGACAGGTTAGATTTTGTTCTACTGTTAGTTGACATTTCATTTTTTGGCGGTCGCCGAAATACGATACACAACGTTTTGTGTCTAATACTATTCATAATTTCGCTGGTAAACATATTATAAAAGCAATAAGGCACTTGAGGCAGTACTTTATCTTCTTTACTGTAACAGTTTGAGGTTAACAACACCCCTCAACTGTTATATTATTGGACTATAAAGTCCAGCCTCTCGTACCTTTTTGCTTAAATACAACCTCCCAAGTCAATAAGCAGCCGAGCAGAGCCACGGTTCGTTGGGGGTGGTCGGGGGGAATCCCAGCTGTCATTGACAACGTAACAACCACTTTTTACTCCATAAAAACTTAAATGGTGGACACCATCTTTGGCGAAGAATCGTTGGACTTTATCATATCCCACTCTTTAACATGAGCCGGGCTTGTGACCCATACAGTAGCCGGCTACAAGGGCCTAGTTGGATGTTTTCACTTCCTTTTCGGGACCTGTCACATCATCCATCTTTAAAGCCAAGGCCCAGTCCAAGTAGTAGGAAAACGTAACAACAGCACTGCATATCGTCAGCGCAAAATGAGTCAATATAAAAAAAAACAAGCCTCTCATCTGTCGGAAGGATGGAAGCGTTACAACCATTCCACATTCTTGGTCATTACCTTACTAAATGGTTTGCACTGAGTTAGCCTGGGTTGCTTTTGAATTAAATTAAATGCATCCATTTGTAAGCAAGGATGGCTAATTGGCATTAGCATCAGTTTTCCGTTTCCCGCGGGGAACTGCGCATGCGTGATGTGACGTGTTTATTTTTAATCAATGGCGATCTACTGATACTGATCGACATATTGGGCACCCCTGGTGTAGCCTAATCTGTCGATCTTTTTCAGCTAAATTATGTACGTCCATATTTAAGGGATGTGAAGGGAAAGTACTCAGAGCTCTGAAAGTGTGTGGTTATATGAAAGTGGTGGGCTTTCCGGGCTGGTACCAGTGGATTTGTCATCCATTCCGTTGTGTGAGCATCTCATGTGCCAGAAGTGGCATTGAAACCTCCCATTCTCTTTGCTCACTCTCCAAGATCATCTACTCAGTCAAAGCCACAACTGAATGGAGGATCTTTTTATCTTCAGATTGGCTCCCAACATATATATATGTATATATGAAATGGATTTTGGGAGAGGAAATATATATATATATATATATATATATATATATATATATATATATACATAATATTTCCTCTCCCAAATCAAAAACAGGACAGCACTCAAGGTCTGCTCATCGAGTTCATTGCCTCATCAGCCAGATGGCTAACATCATCCAGTTGTGGTAAATCAAAGTGCAGATGCAGAACCGCTGCCCTGAGACAAAAAAGTGTGCTGTTAAGAATTTTGGCAAAATTTTGGCTGTTCTTTAGCCAACAAACATCCCCCAATTTGCCTTAAAGCGCTTTTTGGAGAGATTCAAGGTTTGTTGCAGTGTTTCCCCCTCATTCGGAGCCATTCATCGTTTGTCATTTTTGATTAGTACATATGTGCTTTTTCAGATATGCCTTACACCTGGAAACTGCTCGACAGTTTTCTGTTAGTGACAGCAGACAAACTGTGTTAAACTTTTAATGCTATCATCAAAATATCATTCCTCCTTGCTTCTGTTGTGGTTTCAGAAATAGCTGTTAAGTCGCCGCACTGCACCATCAAAGCAGTGATGTCATTCTGTCAGAAACTGGTCTACCGCTACCAACAGTGAATTGGAGCATATCAATGCCAGATGTTCCCCCGCTTTTTTGGCTCAAGACCCCAATTTTATTCTCAACCACTTATTTAAAACAATAACATTTCTTTGTTATTGAGACTTTTTAAATGAAAGACAGGAATTATGAGGTACTTCAATCAAGTCTATGCTAAGTAAGAGTCCACAAGTACAGTTGACACTGATTTACAATGATCTGTTTGAACTATTTTGATTATATTGTATAATTTGTATATTAGGAAACGGTTTTGAGTCCAAGGTTGGGAGACAGTATCCTAATAGTTTAAGAGGTTAAATAGTTTTTGTGTTTCCTCAACTCAAGCTGCTTGTATTCCCCCAAACTGCAGTGTAAAGATGTAAACACTTGCAACTCAACAATTGTCAAACAGGAGGATGCTCACAGAATGCTTTCTTGTTAAATCCTTCAGCAATAAGAAAAGGCCAGGAAATACTGAAAGAGTAGTTTGAGCCCTTACCCCTTAGCTCTGTGGTGGCGGTGCAGTTGGATGAGGCCTTCCAGCGCTCCTGCTGCTGCCTAAACTCCTGCACCCGACACATGTAGAGCCCCCGGTCCCCCTCGGACACATTCAAGATGACCAAGTCAAATATCTTCCCCTGTTTCACCACCGTCAGCTTCAGTTTGGGCCACGGGAAACTCTTGGTGTAGTTGCCATAGAAACGGGACTTTCTCATGTTGACGCGGGCAACGAGGAGTTCGTCCTCCGGCCGGTTCGTGCCCTCCGGCATGAAGCTCCATTTCACCACAGGCAAGGCAGCGTTCCGACGCCGCTGGGACACAACGCAGGAGAGTGTGACATTTTCACCCTCCTGGGCCACCATGAAGGGTGAAGGGGTGATGGTGACATTGATGGCCAAACATACATCTGAAGGAGAAGTCATTTTAGAGTAATTTGTAGGACATTGTTATTTAGTTGTTTTAGGGTAAAAGCCATTTGCCCCTGCGTCCCGCCAAACCTTCATTTTGATCTCAACGACATACAGGAAAAGTGAGTAGTTGATGTCGATATTCTGTTGATGCCCAACACAGTAGCTGTCTCCGGGCTACATTTTACCAAACATGGAGAAAAAAATACCAGCGTTGCTCTTGGTGCTGGTGTTATGCGCATAGCTAAAAGGTCAGCGATTCTTGACCTTAGAAACAACCGTTGAGCAAACAAATCTCTACTCAAGATCAACTTTCTGACCTGCTCAACAGATAACGATTGCTCAGTTGATAGGAAACTGGAAATAATAATAATTTCTTCTCAGTTTGGTCATTATTTTTGTTTTTTCAGGGTCAATTGATTATTAATTGCTGTAGAAATCCATTTATTGGAGCATAATAAATCAATAAGTGGACGTTCCTGTCATGGCAATCATTTTTGCGATTCACCATATATGCATGCAGATATTCAGATTCTATACAAAGTCAAATCTGTGTCAAATTTTAGGGAAAACAATTCAATTGATGCTTCAGCTTGTTAGAAAAATTCTATTGTGAAATCGACCAGCCAAAATCTCCAATGAGGTTGTTGTTGCTCAACGGTCTCTATTTCTCGCACGTTATGACATACATGTGATGAAATTTGAACAAACTTTACCACTGAATCTGTTATGACTATATATATATACATATGAACTACATGTTTTTCCACGCTTGCCCAATATGTAATGAACCTTTTTTCACCACACATACAATATACTGCCATGCAGTTCAAGTGCTTTCGGCTGGAAAAACATAATTGAAAATCAGTCAATTTTTTATCAATCTTTTATTTTCTTAACAAAATGACCCTGCAGTGTTCTTCATTTTCTTCACCCTCCTATCCTCTCTGGTTCTCAGATGTTTTCTACAAAGCGTCTCTAAGAAAACACTTTGTCTCCACCATATCCACTTTGGTATGAAGCAAAATAAACTTTTCCTACCTCCAAGCAGTGCTCGAGACAGTAGAGCAAAGACCACAGAAGAGATCTTCATTTTCCACGACTGCAGCCTCCATAAACTCCCAGTCAAATGCCTCTAAAGAAAAGAAACGCCAGGTTTCCTCCTCCTCCTCTTCTTCTTCTTTTTCTCTTTTTTTCCAAGCTTGGGAGTGTAATATGAAACATTGACCGCTTTGTTTCTACTCAGAACCTCCCTCTGTCCCTCCCCCCTCATGTCACACACAGTGAAAGCCCATTTGGCTGGCTCACGTACACCCACACACACACACATTTGCATACGTCGAGTGAGTAGGAAATGTAATTTCTTATGCAGCATGAAGGTGTGTGGGTTCATGTGAGTGTGTGTGAGGGGGGTTGTTGTTGAGATTGACACCGAGCAAACAGCGGGCGCAGACCAACCTCAGCTTTTATTTTGGAACACACACAGGAGGAGGAGGGTGGGTTGCAGTCCCACTGTGGGTAGGTGTCTTTGTGGCCTGTGAAATGATGGAGAAGGAGACCATATGGAGGTAAGTTCCGCATTTAAAGTTTCTAAATTATCGTCAAGTTTATCCCCCTTTGGATGTTGATGGTGCTCACAAATTCGGTCCCCCAAAACTCAAACTTATTAAATCATCGTGCCTGTGTCGCTCATCTCCGCTAATCTCTTCTGTAACAGGATGCCACAGTGAATCCTTGTACAGCGTTCTGTCAGCTCAGCGGTTTTGGGACACTTTGGCTCTCATGAAACCTCCGAGAGCATGCGGTCAGACGATCTGGGACCCGTTTAATTTACAGGAGAGGGTGCCTCATAAGTGCTTTTAGTCTGGCCACATTTGACGAACACAGCTGTTGCCTTGACACAGAAGTCCCCCACTTTAGCAAAGCCAAAAAGATTGTGTAGAATTCACCAAATTGGGACGCTAGGCCCGAGCAGGTTAATTATTAATTATTAATTTCACTCCTTATTAAAAATAAAACAGTCCAAAAGCAAAATGCTAGTTCTGTTAAGTGGATAGTACCTTAGCAAACAATAGTATTTTGGAGCACTTGAACTGACCTCTGGTGGAAGACGAGCTCCACAAGCTAAAAACACTATCTAACAGCAAGTTAACAAACACAAAATCCACTTTCACCATGTTTTTTCTGGTCAAATGTAGGTTTAAAATATTTACTCTCCCTTTAGCACTCCTTTGGTCGCCACATACAATAAATTGTGTGTCTGCTGTTAGGTGCTGGGCAGGATAGTAGATGTTTAATCACATGAGGCAAAAGCTGCACCATCCATTTGCTTTTCCCCACCAGCTCCTAAAACAGTATCTGGCTACATTCTGAATATGTTCCCCAGATAGCTGCTTTGTCCGTCTGTGTAAAACAAGTCACACTCTCAAAAAAATTATATTGGGTGGTTGTTACATTTACGTTAGTGCAACATGTATTTGGAACGATATTAATTAATGTTTCCAAAACATAACATTTATTAGATCCATTCATGTTGCGATAAACTGAGACAATCGAGTATCTAGACATGACGGCGAAAACCAAGGCGGAGGCAGTCACAACCAGACCACCCCACTTTCTGTACCATCCCACTGCAAGAGTGTCCTGGTTCACCTCACTGACTGCACCATCCCACCGCAAGAGTGTCCTGGTCCACCTCACTGACTGCACCATCCCACCGCAAGAGTGTCCTGGTCCACCTCACTGACTGCACCATCCCTCTGCAACAGTGTCCTGGTCCACCTCACTGACTGCACCATCCCTCTGCAACAGTGTCCTGGTCCACCTCACTGACTGCACCATCCCTCTGCAACAGTGTCCTGGTCCACCTCACTGACTGCACCATCCCTCTGCAAAAGTGTCCTTGCCAACGTCACTGACCTGCCAGGCATAAATCGGTGAATGTTTCTGACTGAAAAAGCAATACCAATGTTAAAAAGCTCATGTGTGATGGTCTAGCTAAATAAGTATTTTCTAGTTCCCATGTGTTTTTTTATGTTTTATATGTGCAACCAGCAGGTTGCTCTTTCCGTTGCTAAGTCAGTTGGAATTTTAGGTCGGTCAAAAAATAGGGGCAGTACATGGTCGGTCTCAGCTCATCATATTCTTGTTTTAATATTTTTTTTGGTTTTGTTTGGCTGAGGGGATGTGGAGGTACACTCTGCATTTGTATTTCTGCACAAGATCCCGGTAATTATCAAGAGAACAAGCCCAAATGAGATATCGAGAGAAGACCAACCCTGGAGTCAAGTGCATTACTATCAGTGTTCGTCACACATAGGTAAGCGAAATGTCTGCATTCTCATCTTATGCAAATTAAATATTCAATACTATGATGAGATGTTAGTCCGTTCATGTTTTTAACACCTGTGGTGTTCATTGTGATGATTTGGGGGATACAAAACAGGTGACCGTGGCGCATGGAGTACAGAGGGCGTGCTGGGAACCGCAGAGTTGGCGTTTCGAACCCTGGCTGCTCCACGTCCCATGTGGAAGTACTTGAGAAAGACACCCAACTCCTACTGCTCCCACTGTGTGGGATGGGTTATACATGTAAACCACAGCTTAAAATGTAAACCATCATTTGCAATGCAAATGCGTCAACTTTAATGACAGCAATGTAAGTCGCTTTGGATAAAAGTGTCAGCTTGAATGACATGTAAATAAACCTGCCTCAACTACATAATACAAGGTTTCTTTATTTATGTTATTTGCACTTAATATTTATTCTTTCACTTAACTTAATAAAATCACGGAAAGGATTTCCATTTGATTGAATGGCTTTCTTTTAGCACTAAGAAGTTATGTTCGTCCAACTCAATTGTATTGAGTTAAGTTAATGCAAAAATAATAGGTATGTATTTGAAATCTAGTTGAAAATGATTAAACTATTCATATCGATTCAACTCTACAAATCCATATGAACAACATAACATAGTGTTAGAGTAACGTTATTGTTTAGCATAGAGAGAAACCAATTTAATCATGTGGAAATCCTTTCCATGATTTTTTTAAGTAAAGCTAATGAGTTATTTTTTTCAGTGCATGACCAGCCAACCACGTCAGTCAGCTGAATGCTAATGAATCAGGTGATTTACGACTGGCGTTACAAGGCGTCAATATTTAGTCTGGCGCGTCTCATCTTGTTCGTCCCATCCGCCTCACTTCCCTTCCCACGCTGCGTGGTCCATCACACTCTTTATAGTGCGTCAGCTGCACTGACCGCCTGGCAGTGAGACGGGTGGGTTTAGATTGCAGTCAGCCCCGACCAACCGTCGTTAATCAAAGAGCTTAAATTAAAAGAAAACTGCAGAATTGGGTGAGAGGTCTCTGAGGGTCATCCCTAGCCTAACCGCTTTGGCATGACACATTCTCATTTAATCTGTAGTTAATAGAAATGTACAGCTTCACCACTATGCTTGACTTGAACAGGGAAGTAATTAGTAAATAGGTGAATAAATAAATACATCTATTAGATATTATTTTTGTTTGCAATACAGGGTTTCACGGTTATTGTAAATACATTTTTATAACTGCTTCTTCATAATCCATCTGTGTGCTGGAGGAGGCGCTCACTAACTCGGCAGTACACTCAGACTTCTGATTAGGGTGACAGATCATATGCTACAAAATAGAAACTGGGCCAAAACATAGATAGCCTGAGCTGCAACAGTACAAAGAGTTATAATAACACATTTTTATCCAACTTACATTTAAGTTTGAGATAGTTTCCAATGGTTTAACTTCACAATTAAGTTATTGGCAAGAGGCCCTTTTGAGGCCTCCTTTGAATTAGAAAGCACACTGGAAAGACAAATATAATTGTGAAAAATGTGAGGATTCTTCAGGTCTACACTCTCCCGTACTTTCTAAAGTTGATTTTAATAAAACAATGTAATGATAATGATTTTGTTAGGCTGATGCATTTATTCGTGAAATGCTTGTTGGGAAGAAACACCACTCAGACTCTACAATTTATTTCATTACAAATGTCCCTTCAAGTGGGGAAAAGGCTTAGAAAGAGCTGACTGGAGTATGGTAAATGATTTGTGATGTCCAAAATATGGGAAAATGCAACCACATTATCATTATCCAGATGTGATTTAAAATATCCCTTCAGTTTGCATTCTTATGTATTAACAATCATCTAAGTACACAGTTTACAGGACCGTCCTGGTGTCCATGTCAAACTATACTGAAGTTGGGTTACGTTTATTTTCTTTTTCGTTCCAGCGGGTAGACATTGCCCCCTTGTGGAGTATCTATTAGTCTAGAGCAGCGATTCCCAAAGTGTGGGCCGCGAAGGTACTGCAGGTGGGCCGCGAGGTCATTTACAATAAATAAATAAAAAGTTTTTAATTTTCAATTTTGAAAAGTTTGAAATTAATATAAAAATATGTATGATGCGGCACATTAGTTATGTGAAACATTAATTGATGAAGCACAAACGAACAGATTGGTTAATCGGTTGATCCATACTGGTTGCACACGGCGCTCAAGGCCTCTGCCAAACATGCCAAAGTGCGGTCTACGACAGCGAGATGCTGAGCGGCGCTCAAGCGCGTGAGATAGAGCTTGTTTCAGGGCGCGTCGGAGAAACAAAGCTGTCGTTCTTGCTGAGCACTTCATGAGATTAAAGAGCGAGAGACAGTGCCCTTTTCTTTACAGTAGCTGAACCATCTTAATGGGGAAAATAAGTTATTCTAAAAGCAGCCGAAGATTTAAGGCTTGGATGGCGAGGGGGGCGGCAGGAGCGGACACACCTCACAGCATCGACCGGACCCTGAAAGCACCGTCTCCACCTCCCCACACCCCCGTCCACCCACCCCGACGCCAAACGTTTGACTGCCTCGGCGGCAAATCACCAGCCGGTCTGCGAGCTGGACGCATTGGTCTTAATGTGCCGGTAATGATGGTAAATGATGGTTGTAGCTGGTTGTCATCTACGGTCCACCACGGTTACATAAAGGTGTCGTTTGTGTTTTGACAACGTTTTGTCTCATAATTTCGACTTTCTATCCCCTTTCTTCAATGCGGACATGAGCTTCTATAGTTGTGTGAATGCATCGCTCCAGCCAATCCACAGACGGGGTTTGTAACCAATCAGGTGTAGAGACCATGTGACTGGCTCCGCCCCCTTACTGTCTGAAAGAAAAACAGCGAGCGCGTAGAAAACTCCTTCGAGCGAGCAGAGATTCTCCTCGCGAGCGAGGAAGTTCACGTTATTTGATATTTGATTTGCATCAACCTGATTTGCGCTCTCGAATTTTGACAGTGATTTGCGCTGATAGACTGCAGTATCTTATGCGCCTTATTGTGCGGAAAACACGGCACATGAGCTCCGGAGAATGGTATACAAAACATACATTGTCCGTTAATACATTTTTAATCGGTTAAATTCTTAAGGTCATCCCTAGTTTATGTTTTGATCAGAGTTGTGATTAAAGGTTTGGGTGGGCCACAAAAGATTTTCAGATTTCAAAGTGGGCCGCGGCATTCTTGAGTTTGGGAACCGCTGGTCTAGAGGTTTCCTGCTGAGTGGTGCTCACCCTGTGACGTATATTAGTCTGTGGAGCAGTTTCTTTTTCCCGAAAAAGAGGGAAACAAATCACAGACAGGCTCCTAAATGTCTGATACCTTCTTTATATTTCCAGTAACACAACTAAAAAAGCTATACTGCAAATCGTGTTACAACAACCATAATGGGCCATGTTTTTGAAGTGGGGAGACAGATACAGGTTTTCCTGAGATAAAACCCAAGGGGACAACTGGCCGCCCGGTTGACCTTTCACCCAGATGCCGCCTTCACAGGGGTCACGGTCGTCCTGCAAATCACTTCGCCTGCCCATTGACACTGCATGTCATTGGAATCCGCCTCCTCAGGATGTTCGGATTGGCAGAGAAGGCTCAAAGCAGGCACGTCAGGCTGTGGCTGAGTAAACAAAATGCAGAAGCTAGAAAGTGTTTTTCTGTTTCTGTCGTTAGAAAATTTGAATGTTTGTGGATGAAATCATTTAATTAGATTTAAGGCGCGTTTCCACCAAGCGGTATGGTACGGTAAGGGTCGGGTCGGTACAGGTCGGGTCTGTTAACCATGATTTGGCGAGCGTTTCCACCGCCAACAGTACCCTTACTTGATAGGCGTAGTGTATTCCAGAAAGTAGTGATAACGTCACTTGATAGGCGTGGTGTATATGACGGAAAGTAGATTGGCGTCATTCGATCGCGCGAAAACTGAAAGCTAACCGATGATACCCAAGAAGGTCTGCACCTCTTGGATTGACCACGGTAAAGTAATCTTGCGCGGCGACATTGTTGCGACGGTGTTGTAGTTTAAAAATGGCGCCTCGTGTGTTGACTTTCCCCTTGCGGCACGCGCAAATGACGACACTCTTTCAACCAATCAATGTTCTGCAGTGAGTCTAGCTCCACCCTTTAGTACCAAACAACTGTGCCAGATACCCCAACGGAAGGGTACCCAAAAAGTGGTACGGTACGGTTCGGATTTTTGGTACCATTCTCAACTTTTGGCAGTCGAGGCACAAATAAAAGGGGACCGACCCAACCCGTACCGTACCGCTCGGTGGAAACGCGCCATTAGATTAGAATGTTTATCATTATTATCTGAGTACAATAATTATTTAACCGTGTTTACCTCTGAAGGCTTCTTCATGCTACCATCTAGTTTGATATAGTTACAAAAATTATGTTGATTTATTATGATGTTGATTTATGCAAAGCCAACTTACAATTGAGAAATATAAGACAATACAAATAAGAAATCAATTCTTCAATAATATGGTCCTTAAAGTATATGGCTGTAATATGATGCATGCTCTTACCTGTGCTGTTGTAACCCAATTGCTTCCTCCAGATGCAGACTTTGATAATAACATATCCAGCAGCCAAGAACAAGCCAATCCCTCCTCCGATAAAAACATACTTCATTTCTGGAAGGAAAAAAAAACGTCAGGAATCACATGGCAATATGAGAACAAGATACAATACGTGTGACATTAGTTTGGGAAAGGCCAGCTCATCTTCCTCCCTCCTGACCTGCGCGTGTGTGTGTGGGTTTGTATGAAAGTAGGCTAGGGGGATGTTTGATTTCACAACGTGTTTACTTGGTGTAAGATACAATTCTCAGTCATCGTATCAGGCTCCTTTCTGAAAATATTATTGCATCACCGGTGTTTGCAACTTGAATCCTGAGCGTCTGGGAACTATTGAGGGGGTCACAGCTGTTCAACTTCAAACAGACGTCTATCATAAAAACTATGAAGCTTAAACATTTCCTATACAAAAGAGCTTGTCTACATGTTGGAAGCTGGCCGGATTCTGAGGTCAAGGAAAAGTTCGACACCAATCTCATCAAAGCACAGCAGCAAAGATTAAGAAAATACCAATAACAACTACCATTTACGGTATTATTTAATGTGACTATCATTTAGTGGTCCCCTGCCCTTGTTAAAGAGAAAAATAAGTAATAGAAGGGAAAACATGATTGATCCCTCAAAGGAAATTACTTGACTTTGAAGATCTAAGCTTAAGGTCACTGTGACATGGGACCAATCTATCTTTGTGATCCCAAAAACGTTAATTTGCCACTGGGGACGAACTGATTCAAATTTTGGGTCGCTGTGACATCACAATAGATGTGTCCAGCCTCAACTCAAGCAGTTATTAACTAATTATGATAATTTAACACAAATGTCTAACGGGATAAACCCATATAGGACGCCGTGGTTGCTCTGAAAAGCTCCCTGATCCACCGGTGTGCAATGCCGAGGTACCACAGGTCCTTCCTTCCTGCTGTTGTCAGATTTCGCAACAGCTCTACTCTCAGTGGCCCACAAAACACTTGTGTACGTGTATTAAAAACACACTGCATATTAAAAACACACTGCAGTAACAGTTTGTATTCATAGTAGTTGTTTTTACTGCTGTCTCTTGTTTGAAATTGAACTACGCTGCCGTAAATCCTGTAAATTTCCCTGCTGCGGGACTGATAAAGGGTTATCTTATCTTAAAATGATGAAAAAAGTGTTGACCTTTTAAAAAGATATGGTTAGAAACTGCAACAGCTTATTTTTACACATGGACCGAAAATAAACACATACACGTAAACAGTACCTATAGACATGCAATCATTAATGCATTAGGAGATGTCCCGGTGAGGAGACTCATAGGATGGGGTCTTTGGCTGTTAGGGGTTCGGTGCCTCGCTGAAGATTGAGACCATGAGGCGAACCGAGGAACCTCTCAAGCTACCAATGCAAACTCACCACTTGGTGCAAGCTGCACTCTCGACCTTCCGGTTCAGAGGCCAAGTCCCAACGGAGTGTGCTAATACAGCCCAAGGAAGAACAGATCTGGTTGTTCCTTGTAATGAAGAATGATCCCAACCCACCCAACCCCTTTTTTTGTGGGAATTCCTAGATTCACGATGAAGAAAAGATCATCACCCATTTATTTACTAACAGAAGAGAAAACATTTGAAAGTCACTCTTTTTAATTGTCTTGTGACCCCATGTACAGTACAGTATTTGTTTGACACCAACAAAAAGCAAAACCCCGGTGCAGCATATCCGTCTGAATGGCTGGATAACTTGTCTGTGCTCCAATAAACTCACCCGCGTAACGGGTTGACCTACCTGTTTGCTCTGCAGAGTCTGCTCCATCTCCTCTCACGCTCATCAGCAGGCACTCTGAAACACATTGTGTACGGTGTGAAATATATTCAGGTCACAAAAACCGTCTGTTCACAAAGACAGGAAGCAGATACCGCTACCACAGGGGGGTTTACATCAGATAAAGTGGAGCTCAGTGTCAGTCTTCTGCACAGTACAAAGGGTTGCTCAGTAAGTCGGTGGCGAAGTGAAGCTTCCCTGCACACGTTGTATTCTACAGCACTTCTTGTTGCTGGAACAATGGAATGGGCTTTATTAGCAGTCATCACCGTCTTCTGGATACACGTGTTTTTATAAACCTATCAGGTACTTTTGGTGTTTAAATCGTCAGTTGTTTTGTGTCAATTCACAACAGTTATTTTTAATGATGGAGAATCAGCGTCATTATCTTGCTCGAGGACACCTTAGCAGTGGTCATTGTTCTCAGGTTTTCCCCACTCAAGATATGAGCCACCAGGGAGGTTAACCTCTGACCTCTGGTTCCTGACTGTACTGTGCTACCTGTGCACACTGTTTTCAATATGCTCTAAGTGCAGGAAGTAATTAAATAATAACGGTGAAGTGTGGAGTCATTCACAGAATTTATCATCACAGATGAAGGCTTATATTACATGCGCACTAAAAGCTAAATGCGTACTAGTGAGTCCAAAAGCTTAGTGTAGACCAAGTTTAGCCTTAGACTTGTTCCTACTGCTTGTCAGAATTATATGGTTATTTCACCATTTATATTTAAAACACAAGCAATTTAAAACTCAAGGGAAGGAACAAAAAGGAGCAATATAAACATTTTATAAAGAACTAAATACTTTTACCCTTTAAGATTTCATTTCACACAATTCATTCTGAGATATGAAGTGGCTGCTTTTACCTCACATGTTTTAGCGTATTTAGAGTAAAAATTTCTATTGTAGTAAATGAAATCCAAGGGACAGCAAGTGGCTATGTCAAATTTTACAGCCAGCAGTCACATTCCTCTGACCTGTTGTTTCTCTGTGTGAAATATTTAATGTCAATATTGCCAATCAACAAATGGCCTTTTTTCGTCCTCTTTCTGTCAGCATGTTGAAGGATTCGATTTTCTTGTGGGGTGCAGACGCATGCATTACCCACTTGAAGATCTGTACAAGAACCGGCACCTCCTATGAAGGTCATAAACTGGAGTTCAAAGGGTTGTCTGTTTCAGGGATTGAACCTGCGACCAGTCAAGCGACATCTATGTGCTATATATCAGTATGTGCTGAATTCAGTTTAGCGCACCCGGAGTGTTGGGAGAGATAACGTTTTCAGTGAACAGAGCGCAACCTCTTATGTAATGTGTCATGTCCAGCGTGTGGAGGGCATGGACAGTCTGGCAGCTCTCTGCGGCTTCAAATCAAAGCCAAAGTCAAGACACATATGCAACTTTTCCAGAAAGACACAACTATTGAATTCATTCATTAAAGGCTTGGAGCATTAACATAAACAATGAACTGGAAATGTAATGTAAGTCGCTTTGGATAAAAGCGTCAGCTAAATGACCTGTAATGTAAATGTAATGAGACAAACGGGTGAATGAATTATTCAAGTTTTAATGGACCTTCATATTTTGCATTTTACTAATTATTTTACCACTGAGGAATTAGCCACCAAACTGCAGATGGCCGACTTCACTATACCTTTGTCACTTCAGGTGTCAATATAAGGAGAAACTTTCGCAGTTTGAAAATGGGGTTCACCCCCACCCCCCCGAAAATAACATAATATCATTTTTTGTTTCATGAGATCGATAAGAGAAATTTACTGAAGAGCTTTCACACCTATAAATGCTGTATACAACTTGATTTGGGAAACTCATGGCATCTTAGCTAGCTAACTTCAGCAGTAGTTTAGCTTGTTTGTCTTCTATTTGTTTTTTAGCTACTACTCACTGAGATTAGACAAAACAGTCAATCATGAATGTTCCCATTTTTGGAGGTAATAAAGTTATTAAATTTTCCTGGCTTTAGCTAAGGTCAGCCTTGAATGTACCCACAGGCTAAAGTGTTTTGGCTAAACAGTTGGCCGTACCACTGTAGTAGAGAACAGTTGTGCAAGTAAGATACATAAACCAGAGTGTAGTCACTGAAGTTTGACACCCAAGTCATATATTTCATTGGCACAATAATTTACATACAAGTCAGAATTGGGTCTTAATAACTAAAAGAAAAGTTTCAGATGAGTTTGACAATTACTATCAACCGTAAGATGGCCATGCTGACATTTATTGGTCTTCGTACCATCGTCATTGGAAAAAGACAATAAACTCACACGTCATCTCAAGATTCTACACAGCATGCTTCATACAATCTCATGATTACATCAGTACGAGTAAGAAAAGTAATTAGTACAAGGTGTGTATCTTACTCACCAGCAATGAGGAGAGCCCTGAGGACTGCTGGTAAACCCCCACACGTCTCAAGTGCTCTCATCTCTCCTGGCGTTTCTGCTCAGCTCACAGGCTTTTTGAAGAAGTGTGCTGTTTTTTTATCATATATAATGACGAGCAGTTTCCTGAGCGTGTGGTTTTAACAGATTTGCTGATGAAAAGATTGAGTTTTTTTCAGCTGCTGTAATGCAAAGCCCCTCAAATTATTGGGGTGGCTTTTAGCCAGTTTCAACATTGATTGATAAGAATTCTCCCTACAATCTAAAACTTTATATGCAAAGCATCCATAAACACGTAATGGATTCCCTTAAGTGTCTACAGCATAGATTGTTCGATGTAGGTAACAGATGTTTGGATAGAAATAATTGTGGGCCATATGTTTCCAAGCTAGTGAGACTTATGACAGGCAATACATTGTAATGAGCCTTTTGATCGTGTTGCAGGCAGGTGGTTTTCCACTGAATGTTTAACATCTCCACTTCTTTATGCAACAACGATGTTGCTGCATTCACAGCGTCCACATGCTCACCTTTGATAGGCCTGTAGTATCAGACCTCGGGAGAATCAAGGCACAAGGCAAAAAGCGACTAGGTATGTGATAAAGTCAAGAAACAATAATAAATGTCAAATAGTCAAGAAACAATAATAAATGTCAAATTCAACAGGTCCACCACAACACATGTGTGTTATGATATATATTACATTAACATGTATTAATGTACATATAATGTCGGTATATCCAAAGCCAAATCAAACTGAAGGAGTGGTCATTGCTTATGAATGAGAACATAAAATGCTCTACTTTTTGTAATGCATTGTAATACACTGTTTTAATGATTGCTCTAATTAAAAAAAACAGATCAATAATAAGGTAGATAATATAGCACATTCTGTAGTCCAAATGTGTGCTTGGTAATTTTCTTAAACTACAGTAAGGAAAATATAGTAATATAGCATCACCCTAAAAGGTGGTACAGATCTTTCCCGGATATTTTAAGTTTACAGTTTATGCAATTCTGATTTACAATCACTTATCGTTAAAAGTTAGATTCTGGTCAGAATTTTGCTTCAATTAGTAATCGAGTATTATAGCATGAGTGTGCTGTTCTCGCTGGGCCAGCTGGCAGAATCATTGGGGGGAATTTGCTGTCAGAGGGTTGGGAGCAAAAAGAGAAAGGTGAGAATAAGGCCAGAGGAGGAGGGAGCAGGCTCATAATATGATATTCCCACACAAGTCTGTTCCCCCAAAATAATGCAGGTAATTTTTCCCTTTTCTGAAAGTCAACACCCAACATTATTTACAGGTTCAAACATGCTTTACAATTCAAGAAGGACACATTAAATGGGAATTGTTTGAATGTTTAAATCTGTTCAATATCAGGAGAGAACAATTTTAAATGAGCTTTTAAACACATTTTGTGTACTTCAACTGACATTCAATAATCTAAATAACCTAAAAATAATTGCCAATCTTGTAGAAGATTGTATGTGAAATACTTGTGGAAGGTTACCAAGTGTGAGAGGCTATTACCTTAATACAACATGACAGAAATAGCGTAAATATGGCACCTTGAAGGAGGACAGCCACACACTGTGGATGCCGGGGCCATGGAGTTGTTGTTGGAGCAACTTAGATTGTGATTTCATGCTGTCAAATGTAATTTTGTGGCTAATACTCTATTGAACAGGTCATGGTGATGCTATATACAGCCTATGCATAATGTTCTCTAAAGGCATATACTGCAAGTTGCCATACAGTCATACAGTGTTCATTATATACAAGCTAATGCTTCACATTTGACCTCATCCGTTGACTTCCTCTGACTCACGGTGGCTTACAGGTCAACATATCTGCCCCCTACATTGTCGATTAATCTCACAGCAACAGCTGCATTGGTCCTAAAACTAGACTACCCAGTCCAACACTTTCATGTTGTCAACACAGCCTTGTAATCAAAATGAATTAGCACAGCTTGCTAAAGTCAGCAGACAAACAGCGACATCCAGCAACCAATCTCCACCCCAGGGACTGTCGGCGTCAGTTGTGTGATGTAAGGGGCTATATCAGAAATCTTTGTTTGTTTCCCTGGGTGGCAGAAGACAGATGAGTCACAAGTGAAATGTTGGCCTTTGGTAAATACATCTAGCCTGTCTGTATAGTCCCAACAGAGACTCAAATTATTGACGCCTCATCTCCATTGACACAAAGGACCTGTCATCTTTCCCAAACTGTCTGAAGAGTGAAGAAAGTGGTGTTCTCATTGGTCGGTTACAAAAATAACCAATGACCAGCGTTGATTTCATCCAGCTGGCCTTCCTTGCCCTGCCACTCGACACCCTCTGGTTATTCCGATGTGAGTTAGCTAGCTGCACCCTGTGTTGCTGCTCAGTTTGGCCACACAGACTAGTGCGTCTATTTTGGTATCCTTTGAGTTTGCTCTTAGAACATTGGCCACAGCAGTGTTCGAATATGGAACTAAGGGCTTGAGATTTTTGGGTGAGTTGTATTTGTTTCACAAACTTCAAGAAAGATAGTTTGTTTACTATGGATGACAACTGCTAACTAGAATGTATTCTCAGCAGGTTGCAGCAGATTTTGCATTGGATTTTTTACGGATGATTTGTTTTAGCTACCACCGTTAACATTGGAGGGTCAGCATGAAAGACACATCACCAAGGTGAGGGAGCAGTGTGATTATTTGGATGTTTACAGACAGACAGAGATACTGAAGCCCAGTGGACAGAATATAAGATATAAGAAGTTTCCAATTGATTCTAAACACTTCTCTAGAAAGACCTACAGGATAAGTACCCTGTATTGTATTTCTATAAAATCATTACATATACACAACATTACATTATTTTAAAGAAATATAAACACGTCTTTCAGGAAAATATGAAACACATTTTCAAATGGTTGCACAGTATTGTTAACTGGGCTATATGAGTATAAATACACAAGCAGATGCTGGGAAAGTACCGTGGTAGTCATGAGAGCTTGTAGACTGTTGGCAACTTAAGTCTCCTGGAAAGCCAAAACATTCTCTCAGTCAGGCCAAAGATACAGTAAAGTCAATACACTCTAGTCATTTTACCTGGTTTGTTAGGATCTACAATAAACAATAAAACAATAAAAGTAGAAATAATTTGTCTTATGGACTCTTGTAAATTAACCTACCGTTATTCAATTTTGTGTTAACAGTAAACATGAACCATTCTCAACAACTGAGATTGCTTTTATATTATACACTTTTAATGAACCGATACAGTCCAAAACAAAACTGTATCTTTGAATGACTGTGTTTATATTTGTCTCAACTTATTCTGCTTATATGGAGAGTCATGGTTATGTAGATAGTTGAAGAGTTGAGTTATATGGCAGTGGCTTTGCTCCCAGTTCAAGACATATCAATGGGCTATTCTAAGACCTCACCCAGATAGCTAAAGCGAGCTACAGTAGAGCAGCTGCCAAGGGGCTCTGTGATTGATTTGATGATACTTTACTGATATACATTTCCTCCGATTTGTGACGTAAATCTGCAGGAGTGGATGTTATTTCAGAGCTTTGCAGAGGCATTTTCTAGATATCCTCACAGTATATACAATTGGTATATGATTGCATTTGAAAGGGACCAATGTGAGGCATGGGTCGTTCCTTTAAATTGCACACTACAACAATGCAAATGTTTTATTTGTGTAATTACGTTCCTTTACAGCAGCAACAGTATGCGAGTGCTTACAGCTTAAGGCACCATACAGTGCTAAAAATAGTCAAGCGCATGGTTTGGAGTGTTTGTATGCTGCCTGCAATATCACAGCATGGCCAAAGCCGGCATGTACAGTGTACGTAAAGGTCATCAGTGCAACTACTGAATTGAAAACGTTTTAAAATAATCATCAAACCACATTTTCGTGAGCTTTTGAACTGTACATAGTTTGGAATGATAACTGCACACAATGTATGAATGAGTAACCATAATTATAAAACACAGAGACTAACTTCCCTGTCTCCCTTTAGGAAGTTCCCACATCCCAAATCCCTTATGTCGTGCTGAGCTGGACAAAAAGGGTTGTACAAAGTTGCAGCAGCTGTAAAGGATGCAAGAGAGGTGATGCACGAGACTGAAAGAAGTTTGTTGACATCATGAGCTGCGTGGAAAAGCGACACATGAGCTATCGGGTGGGAGGCATGGTCCACCATCGCTTCCCCAACGGCTTCACCGACTTGTTCATGGATGAGACAGACCGAGAGGTCAGCATTCTTACCGACAGAGCCTTCCGAAGTCTCTGCGTTGGGGATGAAGCTGTTTACAATGACGAGTTGTTGTACGGATACTCACCTTTCAGCTGCCACAAACCTTTGGTGGAGGAGCCTCTTAAAAAGACTCATCACAAGGAATCTAAAAAGCAACGGCAAGACAAATCTGACAAAAACTATGCCCAGCCGTGGAAACAACAGGAACAGAAAAATGTGTCCCACAAGTCGTCTTTCCTCAAGTCATTAAGTGCTACGGAGGAAAGCCGCGAGGGGATGTTGATCGCAAATGGGGGTATGACAGACTCTAACGGGGAATCATGGGATAAGTCTGCACTTCGCAGCATCCAAAGAGAGCTATCGGAATTCTCCCCGGATTATCACTCCAATGTCACAGGTGGATATTACGAGGAACATCATCAACATGAATCTGGTAATGGTTCATTTAGCAAAACAGGCAAAGATGCTGCCATTGTCTCTGGGAAATCCCTAAAGAGCAAACATGGGAAATCCACTATCAAATTAACAAAACTTATCATCAAAAACTATTTCCTCCACAGTGAGTTTAGTCCTTTCCAAACATGGGGAGTCGTTAACCGGTTTCCCCTTGATCGAGAAGACTCCTCTAGTCTTCCCACAGATAGTATACCTAAATGGTATGACTTGCCTTTTTACAAGGAGCTTACGGAGGAACACAGAAAAGAGAATCTGCATAAAGAGGAGGTGCAGTCTCGCCAGAAAGCAACCGTTGAGCCACCTCCACCCACTGCTCCTAAACCCATCCCTGATCCGCCTAAGGTCTTGCCAAAGCCCTCAGCTACTCTGGCTGAGAAGAGATGCTCATCAGAAAGAGGGGATGGGAGTGCTGCCCCCTGGAGGCGCAACAGGTCCAGGGCAAAAAGTGTGATTCCAGTCAATCAACCTGGGATACCAGCTCAGGAAAACAGTTCAAAAACAGTATATGAGAGTCTTTGGTTAGTCAAAAAGGAGCCTAGATCTGTGGAGGTCACAGCAGTTGAGGAAGTAAGCTCTTTAGCTTCAACTCCGTTCAGCATCTGCCAGCTGATGACTCCCATCATTCCCACCAGACAGCCAACGGAAACATCGGAAATTCTCCTAACTGTGCTCTCGCCCTCCTGCCTTGACCCTCCGCTGAGACCACACTCTGAAGCCAAACTCACCCCCGAGCCTGCAGTCAAGCGGGACAGCTACAAATCCCTCGCCTCTAGCATCCTCTTCAACCTCAAAGACAACAGGAAAAGGGTGAAAAGCCATTACAGCCCTCCGAAATTCAAAACATTGGAAGTGCTTAACAGTGGTACCCAGTCTCCCCAATCAGATCATCTGAAATATTCACAAGCTGTCACAGAAGGCTATGCATCTGGCTTAAGCACTCCTGCCATTTTCACAGACAGACAGAGAGTGTGCTCTCCAGTTTTGGAATTGATTAACACCCCAACTGGTGGTCATACCAAACATGATAGTGATAGATCTCTTTCAGATGATTATTTGTTATCAAATCTACTGCAAACTAGCAAGGCTGCAGGTAGTCTTGTTGAGGAGAGTCCCATATCCCCCTTAAGACACTCAAAAAAAGACAACAGTGCAAGGGCTAGAAAGCAAAACTACCCATCTCTGAATTTGTATAAGAAAGCAAGCCCTGTTGACAGTGATATGAAACATTTACCAGCCCCTCAGGGAACTGGTGCTCCTAAACGCATAGACGAACCAACTGAGGCGAATAAACGTTTACCACACACGCTAAACAAAGACCTCTCTCAAAAAGCACTGCCCACAAACACAGAGTTTTCACCAAATTTTTTAAATGTCAAAGAAGATTGTTTGCTCCTAATTCAACCTGATGTATATGAAAACGATGGGTTTTCCTTAAATGTATCACTTGAGAAGAGAGCACTCAATAAACCAGAAAAATTTAAACGATCTGCAAAAGACTTTACAGAAACAGACGTAAGCTTGAAGGGAAAATATGCTAGTTGCCAACCTATGACTACGATGTATGTGATCAAAGCCGCCAGGGAAGCAATTAACGCAGCCAAAAATAAAGCTATATCAACAGCTCAGTCAAATACCACAAATAAACCCATTTCAGACCAAGAAGAAGTAAATGAAAGCGAAGTGTGCAAGAGTTCAACACCAGAAAACAACAGTATTTTATCCCAGCATAGAAAAGTAACAGAACTGGATGGCAAAAGGGGTGATTTCAAGAAAGTTCCCCCACCAGTTCCGAAGAGAAATTTCGCTAAATCTGATATTCTCCTCTGTCACAACAAAGAGCAAACAAAGAATGTTGACAAGCTGACTAATGGGGGCTTAAAGAATGCAAATTTAAATTTAATTGAAGATGAATTTGACCAGAAACAGGGCAAACTCAAACATAGGTTTTCTGCCAGACAGAACAATTACATTAAAAATCAGAGATACGCAGGGTCAGATGAACAAGGGGAGGAGTTTGAGGAAGGGGATCCGAAAGTGAACCCAATAATGGAGATGGGTGAAGAGACAAGGCCACACAGAGAAATGAAAGATAGCGAGCATATAATTAATGACCTGAATGCTCTGAAAGAGCTGCAGAGAGCGAGACTTGGCGATCGTGTTGTCGAGAACACAAAGAACAAATTAAGTGTTATTAACATAGATGAAGAGGCTAGGGCTAAGAATGATTTGATCTCAAGGGAGCTAAAGAATATTAAAAAGGGTATGCTGTCTATTAGAGGGAACACAGCATCTAAAAGAGAACTATTTGCACAGAAAGAGAAGGATCAGAGCAAGCAAGAGACTTTTGCAAAGATTGACAGCAACGTCATAGTAAACAAAGCCCTTATAAATGACAATTATGACAGAGCAAAAATGGCACTTGAAGAGATCATCTCAGACAGGCAGCAAAGAAAGAATAAATTTACCGAACAGGAAATGTTTGATGAGAATGCTCGTGAAAGGTGTCTAACAAGAGCAGAGCAAAGTAAAAACGCCATGAAAGGTTCTCTGACAGAAGCCAAGGAAAAACAAAATTCCAGCTTTATCGCACCAAAAGAGAAAGATTTTAAAGAGAGGTTAGGTGATCTGAGAGACCACAATAACATAAGACAGATCCTGTCTCAAAGTGAACCTAGACTAAGTGAGACTCACAGATCTGGGAGTAGGTTAACGTTCCCTGACATTGAAAAAACGTGTGATCCGAGCTATGAATCAGGAGAGATGACTATCAGGTATACAGAGAGCCAGATATCTGAAGAAAAGCTGGAGAATGGAATGGAAGACAAGAAGGGCAATGCTCCTCTTGTTCCTCCTAGGAGCAAAAGGAGAGGAAGTATTTTAAATAGAAGTGTTACTACAGAGACAGATAGTTTGAGAGATCTAGTAGAAGAGGATATCTTTAACATAGATGTAAAACATGAAAAGGCTGAGGTAGGCTTAACAGAGATATGGGATACAGTTGCAGAACAATATGTAAATAGTGACCTTTCCATCAGAGAGGCCTGTCAAAGTGAACCAAATCATTTTAAAGAAAGGTGGGATGTGGTAAACAATGCCAATTCAAAATCCACCATGATAACTGATCCAATTAAATGTGAGCCTGTGTTACATTCAAAAGACCCACAATCTGAAAATAAATTGTGTATATCACCAGAGATTATAGGAAATGAAAACAAGGCAAATAACTTGCATGCAGATATGAGGCCCACAAAAGCTACGAACAGCATTGCCTGGGCACAGGAAACACCAAAGGTCAAACAGAAGGCTCCTTTAAAACCAGATAATTTAAACAGACCTTCGGTAACTAATCTTTTAGGGGCAGAAGAACCTGACAAATTGAATAGCGCTTCAATACATGCAGATGAAGAGGAAATCCCTAGACATATAACATCACCCTTACTCCAGGTTAATGGTATCAGCGTCACTCAGAGCCCACCAGATCAAGCCAGCTTGTCTTCAAAATCTTCCTACTTCTCTGTGGAGAATGCACTGCACAAAAATACAGAGACAGAGTCAAATGTTTACCACTCTCTGGAGAACTTGATTGGAGATTTGGAGGAGGTTGATGAAGAGACGCAAAATATTTTGCAAAACACAAAACAGGTTTTGGACGGAATGGAAAATTATTCTTTGAGTGATCATGAAAGCGAGCCAGAGGTTTTAAAGCATCTTATAAAATCCCCTCAAAAAGACACTGAAGTACCAAACATGGACAACAAAGACAATACCAGCAAAGATCAAACATTAGCGCATGATGAAGAAAATCAGACACCAATGTCGCACTCCAATATTTTTTCACCAACTTTGGGGATCCCTGCCTTATTTAAAGTCAAAGATAACACTTTCAGTAACAACTTGAAGTTGAAGACTATACAACCGTGGTCACCAAGAGGTAGTGTTTCAGAATGGGGAGAGGAGGTACATCAAGTAATAGACAATGCAGAGCTTCCTCTGGCTCATGAACCCACCACCAGAGGTAGCCCAGCAATCCCAGATGAAATATTCTCACCCAAAGAAAGTGCTTCGAACAGTTCACCTCCACTGCTGCAGTCTCCTTCACATCTGCAAAGTGAAAACCCAAAGAAACCACAATCTGGAGGGTTCCTTGCTGTCCCACGGGAGGAAGACAGATCGTCTGGGCTGAGTCCAGCATCTGAAGGAGTAGAGAGCTTAACAGCCAGCACAGCTGACACTACTGACGAGATGGGAACACATACTGGGATTTCGAAGGTTCCCAGCGAACGGCCCGGGTCCACCTGCAGTGGTAATGAAAGCCAAACAGGCCTGCCTAAACCACCAGTGGTCTTACCGAAATCAGAAAAGGCGGTTCTCAAAGCTGTTAAGTTGGCAAACAGAAGGATAAAGAAGGAGGAGGCTCAGAAGTCGTCCCAAAAGTCGTCTCATAGTGGCAGCAAACACCGAGTCGAGAGACCCAATAGTGACAAACCTGAGCACAGAAACAGCAGCAGTAAAAATAACAAGCGCAGTGAGAGAAATCACAGAGAAAAGTCTGAAGATCATCGTCACAGTGAAAGTCACCAAAGCAAAAACAGTGATGACCAGCGGGAGAAAATACCCTCTGAAAGAAGCAGCCACAACCTTGAAAGCCACACGAGTGAAAGCCACCAACATGACCAAACAGATGGGTGCCACAGGCCTCGACAACAGGGCCATGGTTCTGTGGAGAGCAATAACCAAAATAATGAAGCACTGCCCAGTGTTAGAACAGAGAGGCAAGGGCGCAGCAGCAGACGAGACAAGCGAGAGCACAGACACTACAGTAGTGACAGGCTCATCAGCAAGGTACCTGTGTACAAAGCTCATCTCAGCGATAGACCCTCATCTGACCGGCCCCGCCACCGGTCTCAGAGCATCGACAGGTACTTAGGAGACAAAGTAGAGCACAGGCTCAATGCCGATACGTCAGTAAATGAGAATCTTGATCCCAGAACCCAGCGCATTGAAAAGTCCATCATGGACGAGCTTCAGCAGAGAGGACGAGCCAGAGACAAGACAAGCAGGGACAACGTGTTAAGAAGGAGCCACAGTATAGATGCGTACCCTGACCCGTCCCCTTCGACGCTTTCCCGCCAGTCGAGCCAAATCAGCCACACAAGCCAGCTTTCTCGCCAGTCTAGCTTTGAGCACACTATTGTTGCGCAGTCCTTTCCCTTGACCCAACGCAAGCTCCTGCAGGATCCAGACTCCGGTCAGTACTTCTTTGTAGAGATGCCTTTACAAGTCAAGACAAAAACCTTCTTTGATCCTGAAACAGGAAACTATGTGCAGCTGCCAGTTCAGCCGCCAGATGGGGCTGTTCCTCAGGTGTCCCCCTTGGAGGTTTTGACCCAACCTCTGGTTGTTTACCACAGCTTTGTCCCTGTCCCCCTGTCTCCCATGGCTCACAAAGGTGGCATACAAGTAGCTCACATGGAGCCAAGGTTGAGGCAAATGCAATGTGAGGGACATCCTTATCTAGAGCCTGTCTACGGCCAACACGACCACATGTTAGGGGAGTTTCTAGGCACTGAGGAGCTGGACTGTCTGAGCTGATACAGAATGGTGGCTGAAAGGAAATATCCATCCTGAGTTTAGGCTTTTTTACAAATACCTATTTAATTTTGAACAGCGTTGAAGTGTTTCAGGGGGGTTTTAAGCATCTGGGGCCTCATTTATAAAACCTTGCGTAGGATTTGCGCCAGAAGTGACGTACGAATGAAACATAGGACGTGCGTACGCACAGAAATACTCAGACTTATAAAACCGTGCGCATGCACGTCCTACGCAGTTTTCCCTTAATAAATCACAATCACTTCTAAATGCAGTGCAGCTTTTGCGGCTTCATGTCACGCCCATAGTTTCCAATATATAGTCTGTGGAACGCCCACAAATTAATATTCATTGATTGCGGAATCATGGCAAACACTGACAGGAAAACGAAGAAATGTACTTCACTCAGCCACATCTTCTAAGAGCGCAAGATCAGCCATTTTGCGTCATTACGCATTGTGATGGTATCATGGCATTTTATTACCGTCCATTTGATTGCATCTGACAAGCAACAGCTGTGTTTTGAGGATGAATTGCATAACATGCCAATATTATTGCAGAACATATTTCACTTCCACTGCCATCGCCGAAGTGTGTTGGAAAGGGGACACCGGAGCTGTCCCCTCTTGATGAGACTGGCGGCAATGATTGGGGATCGGGGACAGGGCCAACATCGGCGTCAGGGGGGTCGAGGCACTGCCCTTAACCAGGCCGATGGTGCGCTGCACTACAGCGCGAATCCTTCCATTTGCCACGTTTTCTAAGAGCGCAAGATCAGCCATTTCGCGTCATTGCGCATTGTGATGGCATCATGGCATTTTATTCCATTTGATTGCATCTGACAAGCAACAGCTGTGTTTTGAGGATGAATTGCATAACATGCCAATATTATTGCAGAACATATTTCACTTTTCTTTTTGAAAATGTGTTAATTTGTATTTCTGTTTGTTTTACGCTGCAGATCGATCAAACGGGTGTTCGTGTTATTTATGGCAGTATTGGCATTTCACTTACACAAAAGTCTAGTTTTACACACTTTCACACACGTTTGTGTGTTTCTTGCTTTTGCCGACGGTTCTCATTTCACCCGTTTTTGTGCGTACGCATCGGTCCGAGCTTGCGTGAAGGACCGCACATTTTTCCGTAAAGTTTGCTTTTTATGAATACCAATTATTGCGTAGAGAGCGGCGTACGCCTTTTTTTGTGCGTACGCAACATTTATAAATGAGGCCCCTGATCTTTATATTACTTTAGTTGCCTTCACTTACATAGACGCACAAAGGCTGCATCGGCTTTGAGAAGCTACTAATCCCTACTGATGGAGGATCATTATTTTTGTGAATTAATCTATTTTATATGTGTAAGATAATGTGCAATTTTAGGGAAAGACAAAGGACATGGACAATCCATGTACATAATGTATTTAAGTGTAAACAGATGGTAAGCTTGAATGTAAATGAGAAATATGTGATGTGAAATATGTGTAAATGCTGGGAGCTTGTTATATACAACTCCAGAAGGTATTTTGATCTCCTTTTGAAAGTATCTGAGCTTTTTTTAATACCTACAAGGTATGTAGTTTGTTTCCTTTAGATTTCCTTTCCCCACCAGCGATTTGCAGTCACTTAGGTTACCATTAGAGGTACAGTACTTGAAACAAGAACTTGCTTTTAAGAAATGTATGTAATTTGTATATTATTGATTTTAACTCACCATGTCCACAAAACTAAATAATTAGAAACATTATGCATGTTTAAGTTGAAATTGCTGTGACACCTGTTGAATGTGTTTCACAAATTTCATACTGTTTAAAAGGTTGAACTGGCGCTGTTGCAATGAATGTTTTTCCTTTTTTAATATGCAGAGAACATGAAGGAGAATTGATTTTGCTCGTTTTTTGCATTGGCATTTTTGTCAACTAGACTAAAGCAGGGCTGTATTGTGTCTGTGATCCATTCCAATAAAATGCAATTGTTGTTACAGACACTGCTGGTACCTTTCATTTCATTAAAGGGTCATTCTTTGTTTAAACAATATGTCTTTTAAGCGGAATGATTGGAAGTGTTGTGAGTGTGAGGAAATTATTATTCAAATAGAAACACAAATTACATCATTAACATTACTGAGACACCCGTATTAACTTATCAAGTAATTTGAAAAAAAGTTGAATTCTGATTTTATTGTACAAGGAGAATTTTGGAAAGGTATAATTGCCCCTGCTTAAGATTTTGTGTATTTGTAGTCTATTTTTTTTACAATACATCACAACCTGAACCAGATTAGTTGGGGGGAAGGGAATGATTGATGACTGATTTTTTGAGGGCCTAATCTGCATAAATACATGTTTCTGTCAGATCAATTCCCCTCCAAATATCTTTAGAAAAGATGGCATTTATGATTCGACTTCATTTAAAACTCAAGTGACACCTCTGACCATAGATGATAAACTACTGCAATAATAATCTCTGACAAAGAACAATTAATGATTTCAACCAGGTATCATTCATTCAAGGTATCAAACATTTTAAACATTTCCAATTGTGTTCTACAGGTTTATTGTTGACTAATCAGTCAACAAGCGCAGGGATAGTTGTTTTATTTCTCAAAATTGTACAATAGTTAACATATGCACGAAAATACGTTGTTTGAAACACCTCCAGTGAAAATCTTCCCCTCCCTCATTGTCTGAGTGTTAAAGAGTGCAGGAGATGTAAAGCCAGTCAATGGCAGCCGCAGCTTAGCGCCACCATGTCGTCATACTGCTTCAAAACCACATTCTCCTCATCATCAAAATATAGCAAACTGATGGACTGGAGTCTGTCGGGAACACAGCAAGGGGCTCCCACTTCGTCGCTAGAGACCTTGAGTGCGTGTATGATGGAGCGCACTGTGGCATGGTTGGTCGCTCTGAGATTCCCCCCCAAGGGGAACGGGCATGAGCCTTTGCAGTGGTAGGCATTGTATCCCCGCGGAGAGATGATCCAACCGGACCAGCCAATCTCCTCAAAGTCCACAAAGAGTGGAACCCGCCGGCAGGACTGGGAGCGGCCATGGGGCAGGAAGCCGGAAGATGCACGCCGTCTCCGGCTGCGGTGCTCGTGTAGCTCGGTTGCTGCTGCTGCAGGTTGGGCTTGTCCTGTAGAAAGAGAAACGCGTCAACATATGTCAAGCGATAGCCCTTTACTTTGAGTCCTTCTATTTAGCGTGTACAATCATGTAATGGATGGTTTATGACGCACTGTAATGGAGCAGCTGATTTAATTGGTCGATTCAGATCTACTTCTTTGAATACTATGTCGAAATGCATGACGTAAAATCCCCAATATGTTTCATCAATCCCCTTACCCAGGTATGACTGGTTTGATGCTCCTGTCCTCCCATCGTCTGAGAAGATGACCAGGTAGGCATTTGTGTCTGTCAGCTCTCCATTCTGCTTGGAGGAGGACACCAGTGACTGTATCCAGTTCCTAGAGGAGAGTGAGGTCACCACCAGGATGCCATTATTCTCCTGGCTGTTGCGGATCCACTTTGACACCTGGAAGTCAGAACGAGATTCATCAGTTCAAACGCCAGAAACACGGCAGAAACGTCTCAAAATGAGATACTTCACTGCAATCGAACAGCTCTAAATATTTGAATGCAAGAAGTCAAAGTAGTGACCAGAAGAAAAGATTGAACAATGGGGAGTGTGTTACCGTTTGAGTGACATTGAAGACTTCCCATCCTTGTGAGTAAAGGGGCACCAATCTTGAGGTGATGAGGTTTCCTCTCCATGGCCTCACTCGGCTGTCCAGCACCTCATACAGATCCACCTGTAGTCACAACACTAAACAGTTCACTAAACTGTGAGCATAAAAGGGAACAACGCACTATACCTGAAATAAGGGCCTACACCAACTAAAGGGACACTAAAAAAGTGTGATCCTTGTTCTTATTTGGTCAGAGTTGTAGACCATTCGCTCTCAAAAATATGTCAAATATTCAAATGTTATACATGAAGAAATGCCATCCAAAATGTATTTTACCTTGTAGAAATGTGGCCCATAAGACTTTCCGAGGAAAAACTTCTGTTTCTTTCGAAACCAACGGAATTCCGCTTTGACCATTCTCTCCTCTCTACCAAACGATGAGAGATTGAAGATGTGAAACCTCTCTCCAGCGTGACCTGCAGGGAGACGGACATGAAACACATTTGTTGGTCAAGAAATACTCCATAATATTTCAAATGAGCTGCTGAACGGTGATATTATCTGCGCGTAACCGTGCGTAATTGCTAAACACAATTCCGTTGTGTAACAACGGCGCCCTCTCATCCAACACATTTCCAAAACAAACAATCACAAAACACCAGTAGCTCATACGGACATGTCTTACCTTTGTCCTCGAAACTCCGCACTATGTTTCCTTCTAGAATGTCTTTCTGGCTCTTCGGGCTCCCGTCGTGTACTGCCACCGCGTTAAAGAGATCCAACATGAACTGCGGCGCCTTCTTGTGAGGGGACGCGGGTGCGCGGGGTAAACCCTCCAGGTGCAACAGCGCGTCCACCTCGTCGCTCGCCTCGTTGGTCGCATCCGACCCGTCCCGGAGCGCCGGACTCCCGCGGTCCAGCGGCACAGCGACGCATCTCAGCTGGAAACCGAGGACGAGCCACAAGCGCAAAGCTCCTGTTGTCATTTTTAGTGAGAGGGGACTGAGCTCTACACCTGTGAGACGGGGGGTGATAAGGGCCGCCCCGCTGCCTTTGATGACTGTTTGGATGATTGGGGAGTGATTGATGATGGTAAAAAGACAACACAAAGACAAGGTGAAAATGACCCGAGAATCGGCTGTAAAAGATAATACATTAATAAATAGAAGATTTGTAAAGCAAGGTTACATTATGTCAAAGGCCATTTTTCGAATGCCCTTTTCGTTGTAGTGTCTGCACCGATCCGTTTTAGGCTTTAAATGCATAAAATAACCACATAAATGTATTTATTTCATCAAGGCTTTTGACTTTGTCAGGAATCTCTATTTCAACAAAATAAAACAAAAATGGACTAATTACACAAAATAATAAAATGCTCTGGTCAAAATTATGACTTTTGTGTCAGTCATAATAATTAGAGACCAAACTAAAATCTTAAGTGCACTGTCAGCCCACACACTGACATCCAGCTGATGACTGGCAGGTGACTTGCAGAGTCACCAACTGACAAAGAAAAGGCCTATAGAACTACACCAAAAACATTAAAATCAATATTTTTATGGATAAGGAAGCATTGTTTTTAGTGATTTTTACATCTGATATAAGACATGGGACAAAATAAATGCAGGCTGTTAGAATAAAACGTTTAATACGGATTAATATCTCTTTTTATGAGTCGCCATGGAAACCACAAGTCGTTGAATTTACCCGTTTGACTCAATGTATGCATTATTGCATAGATACATGTGTTGTGAATGGATACATGTGAATGTTGACTGCAAATATACTGCAAGTTATACGTTTAAGTAATTCATTTAAATTAATTTCACTTTATATATTCTGGATCTAAATATATGCAATATAAGTGCATTTCTTGTTTTCTTTTATTTTCCTATTATAGTAGGGACCAATTTGCGGGCCAACCAAATCAAGTTATCCTAATATGATGTTATGTCCCCGGTGTTCCCCATCATGCGTTTCCCGGCCAATGGCCTGTTATCAGTATGAGGCCAGTTGCAAGAGAGCAAACGAACAGAAGAGCAGTGACGCAAATGGAGCGAGTGCCCGTTAATGCGCACATTTCCCCACAACGCAACGGTCATCGTATCCATGTGCCACCCCACCCCCCCCCTCCACCTACCTCCCCTTACCCGTTACTGTTTGGACAGTGAGTTGACAACGAAATCAGCGTAAAATG